GGAGCAGAGAGGTAGTGGGTACCACTGGACCAGGATCACATGCAGGGGTGATGGATGAGGGGAGAGGGGAGGCATCACAAGTCAATGGGCCTCTTGCTTGGGGCAGATGGAGGGCATGGTGGATGAGGTGAGTGCACTTAATTTTCAAAGGAAGGGGAGCACTCCTGCCTGGCTCTAGACATGTGGGAAAATTGTCCCAACTTCTCTGCACCTGATGATGGAGGCTATGGCTAGGAACACTGCTTGCTTTGTTTCCATGTAACCACACTGTCAGGTATGTCTTGCAAGGCACCAGTGATGGGTTGTTCTCCACGTCTGCTGTTTTTGTACAGTCCATCCTACTTGGCAGTTGGTCTGATTCTTCAGCCTTGCCTTTGTTTCTCAGAGTTCCAAAACTGTTATCTATAACTGATCCATTATTTTTCTAGGGTCCTTATTGTGAGAGGAACATTATGAGGTATCTGACTATGCCACCATCTTGGACCACTTCTCTCATTTTATTCTTAGTACTGACTTTTCAAGATATATAATATGATCCACACTTTACAAATGAGGAACCAAGCTCAGAGAAACTGAAGTTCAAATTACCTATGAAAAGCACAAAGCTAACCACTGGTAAGGAGCTCTGGTGGTGTAGTGCCTAAGGCACTTGACTGCTAACCAGAAGGCTGGCGGTTCAAACCTAACAGCCACTCCTCGGAAGGAAGGTTGGAGAATCTACTTCTGTAGTGATACTGCCTCAGCAACCCAAGGAGGGGTCACTATGAGTCAGGTCTGACTCGAGGGCACAAAGAACAGCAATAACAAGTGCTTCCTAGTGGCATATGAGGTTTTATAATAATGGCAGAAAAACTGGGCACAATATATTTAACACCTGAATGTAAATATGCTGACTGTGTTAGCTCAGACATACTGGAATCAGTTCAACTTGGCAGTGAATAGAAGCATGTGGATAGAAGAGAAGTACAAGCATTTTTCTGAAGAAATATGTGAAAAATTAAATGTGGAAGAAATGGTTTTATATTTTAATGAAAGCTCTGTCATGTATAATAATTAAGTAGAAAATAAGGTTTCCTAATATATGTATACTGAAGTCCCTGGGCAGTGCTTCACTGCTAACCAAAAACTGGAGTGTTGATGTCAAAAATTTAAACACCTGTGAGTTTTAAAACTGGTATATTTATTCCAGGTATTCCTATTGATATTTATTTCAATTTGACTAATATTAATTGAATTTCGTATTAGTCAAGGATCCCAGGAAGAAACAGAGAGCACTTTCAGCTGAGTTTTTTGAGGACTGAATGACACAGCTCTTCACAGTGGTAGGATGAGGGAAGGGCAGTCAGCAAGGGATATGGAGCTACTTAAAAAATAGTAACGCAGAAACTGTAATAGCTGCAGCTATTGAAGGGACACCCAGGTAGATTCAGGAGTGACTTCTTTTTTTTTCCAAATCCTTCAATTTCCTATTGATGCCCCCCACTGGATCATCTAATTTGGAAGCCAGAGGCCGAAAGAGTCATGGTGATGTTGCCCAAAGGATAAATTGCTCTCATCCCTTCAGAGATGGAGGACATAAAGGGGTAAAAGAACACAGGAATGAATACCTGGGAGGGTGCATAGACAATAACTAGAACAAGTGCGATAGTGTCAGGCACTGTGGCAGGTGTTGGAGATCAGAGATGAAGAAGGTTGGTTTCTGCCTTTAAAGAACTCACAGTCTGTGGGAAGCCAAACACAGAAACATATACCTGTCATTCAGATTTAAAAAGTGCTGTAGTTAAGGCTGAAAATTCAAAGTCAACTTACCTTGTACCTTCTTCACTCTGTAAGTGACCACTATTCACCTGGTAGATGTTCTATAAAAGAATTGAAAATGCTTCTATAGAACTTACTGAATATCTATAAACACCTTTAGTAAGAGAAAATTCACAAATCGGCAAAGATGAACCTGCTTTTTCATGTAACCTCCTCCTTCCTCATGAAAATTTATGTTCAAGACATACTAATCATCTTTCAGTTCTTTGAGTGTGCTATTATCTCCCTTGACATTTGACTTTTCCTTTCCCTGCAACCCCTGAGCCCCACTACAAATACCATTTTTAATCCAATTTCTTCAGGTCTTAGTATAAGTTTCATTTCTTCTAGAACATTTTCTCTGACTTCCTGAGAACTACCTAGTGTGCATTTTCATAGCACCCTGTACTTGTATCATCACACTTATAATACTTATTGTAATTATGTCTTTAAAGAAGAATCTATGTTTAATTGCTTTGTTTTGTTCACTGTCACATCCTCAGAGGCTATCACAGCACCTGATATAGAATAGAAGAACAAGAAATATTGTTGGAATGAATAACTGAATGTGTTAAACAAGGCAAGAATCAATACATTGTTAACTATTGAGTATACCAAGTTGACTAAATATCATCAGAATGAATAAATGTTTCATATTAGGGATCAGTTTTGGTGTACATGGGGAGAGGACAAGTGATTATGAAGGTCCATGAATGCTAGAATGATTCCAAAGTAATAATAGTACCTAGAATGAATAAGTATTATTAATTCAAATGGAGAATTCTTAACAGTGGAATAACATTATAAGAGTGGTTTGTAAGATCTATCCAGGCATGTTGAATAATTTTGGGGGTGGCTTAGGTCAAAATTAAGAGACTGATTTTGAACTCCTACTTAAATGGTCAAAATCTAGAGTTAGGGTGTTGTTGTTGTTGTTATTTACCATCGAGTCGGATCTGACTCATAGCGACCCCTCCTTGGGATTCCAAGGCGGTATCACTACAGAAGTAGATTGCCCAACCTTCCTTCTGAGTACTGACTGGTAGGTTTGAACCGCCAGCCTTCTGGTTAGCAGTCAAGTGCCTTAGGCACTATGCTACCAGAGCTCCTGGAGTCAGGGTTGTTGTTGTTGTTATGTGCTGTCGAGTCGGCCCTGACTCATAGCGACCCCTCCTTGGGTTTCCGAGGCAGTATCACTACGGAAGTAGGATTACCCAGCCTTCCTTCCGAGGAGTGGCTGGTGGGTTTGAACCGCCAGCCGTCTGGTTAGCAGGCAAGTGTCTTAGCCACTATGCTACCAGAGCTCCCGGAGTCAGGGTAGCTCTAGTAATTATTTCTAGTTATTATTTCTTCCCAATTTCAGCCTCAGTTTAAGCAATTTTACAGATGCTCTATAGTATACTATGTTTTGTTAGTGATTGATAAAATGCTCTATTAATATCCAACACTCCTAATTGTCTTAGAAAATTTTATATTTGATTTCCACCTAATTCGTTTATAGGGCTTATGTTATACTGATGTATTGAAGGTTTCATCTTAGAATATATTGATGTATCGATATCCCTTTAGCTTGCTGATAGTAGGCATGATACAACTTTGGAAGCTACAAGAATTCAAGAGCTCAAAATAAAGTGTCTCAAGAAACATATTCACTGAAAAGGTTACAATAAAATCAATTATTTCAACTCATGAAAGTATTGATCCTACCACTGTCATGAGATATGAGCTGTTATAATTCTAGAAGGAACCTGAAATTTAGAGAAGATTATGAATGATCACCATTGTTATTAATATCAATGAGCCCTGGTGATGCAGTGATTAACAAACTGAAAAATGGGTGGTAAAAACCCACCAGCCACTCTGCCAGAGAAATACGTAGCACTTTGTTTTGGTAGAGATTACAGCCATGGAAACCCCATAGGGGCAGTTCTAATGTGTCCTGTAGGGTCTCTATGAGCCAGAATTGACTCAGTAGCAATAAGTTCTGAAAAAGCATTCTAATATCATAGTAGTCCATCTTCTCTAACACACCACCTTCACCATCATCACTACAAATAACATGACCACTGCACTATCATCAGTTATCATATTGATATACATCTTATCTGTTGTGTTGCTCATTCCTTCCAGGCAGCAATGTTCTCATAGAGCTTTGATTACAGAATCTTAGATATAATATAGTAGATTCTAGAACCAGCCACCCTGGGTTCAAATAATGGCTTTTTACACCCACTCCACTTATTGACAGGAGCTCTAATGGCGTAATACCTAAGGCATTTGACTGCTAACTAGAAGGCTAGGGGTTTAAACCCTCCAGCCACTCCCTGGAAGGAAGATGGAGCAATCTACTTCTGTAGTGACACTGCCTCGGAAACCCAAGGAGGGGGTTGCTATGTGCCGACTCGATGGCAGTGAGTTCGGTTTGGTTTGGTCCACTTATTGACACGGTTAGATTCTAAAGACCAGCTTGTTAAGTGAAAACCAGCATTATGTGAAAATGAAGGATGACCACACCAAATCACAAATGGAGGTGACTACATCCTGACACAACTGCCAAATTTAATCATCACATAACTGTCAAATTGCATAATTATATAACTGCCAAATTACATCCTTATATATCTGCCAAACCACTAAGAATCATGGCACTGTCAAGTTAACGCATACCTTAACCATCACAGTAAGCATTACTCTCACAGTTGGCATTAGTTACTGCCAGACACATGTCATTAATACACAAAATAGTCAGATGGTAGATTTCTTACTATTGTCATAAAAGTCAGAAGATGAAATAGTTGCTGCATGAGGAGTAGGTGTAATCTTGCATAATTTACTTAACCTCTCTGTGCTTCAGTTTCCTAATCTATGACATGAGGTAACTAGCCATAACTCACTCAGAAGTGTTATCAGAACAAAATAGTTTATTATGTATAAAGTGCTAACAACTGTATCTTGCATATAATGGCTATTATTATATAATTTCAAAGCACTTGTTAAGTATCTACAGTGTATAATAATAATAGTCCACCATTAAAGCAATAGATATTAAGTGTCTTGTTTCTATTTTTGAACTTTTTATTTTTCCTATGCTGGGATTACTTCAAGAATCCAGGTCTATGGAACAGGGATAATATGAAGAACCATGATAAATGTCATGGAAATGATATTCTGGTAAGGACACTGTCTCCTCAAGGCAGCAGAGCTCAACTAAGGAGGCACCGGCCACCTCCCACAGTCTTTCTGATAGCCTTCTTGACTTCCTGGTTCCTTAAACAGTATATGAAAGGATTTAGCATGGGTGTGAGGACTGCATACACAGCTGAGATTAGTTTGTTGGAATTGAATGATGCAATAGCCCTGGGCCGAACATACATGAAAATCATGGCTGTGTAATAAATTATGACAACAGTGAGGTGGGATGCACAGGTGGAGAAAGCCTTCTTCCTTCCCTGAGTGGAGGGTATACGCAAGATGGTGGAGACAATGTAGACATAGGAGAGGACAGTGGTGCTGAGAGGGAGTACAAGAATGACAATAGCCAAGGCAAAGTCCACTAGCTCAGCTGTGGACATGTCTTTGCAGGCCAGTTTGAGGATTGGAGAGATGTCACAGAAAAAGTGGTTCAGAACATTGGAGCCACAGAAGGTGACGTGTGAGATGAAATAGACCTTGAGCACAGAGACCGTGAAGCCACTTGTATAGGAAAAGGCCACCAATTGTATACAATAACCTGTGGTCATGATGACCGGGTATCGGAGAGGGTGGCAGATGGCCACATAGCGGTCATAGGCCATGGCTGCCAAGAGAACACACTCTGTGCAGGCCAGAGAGATAAAGAAGTAGAGCTGGGTCATGCAACCTGTGAAGGAGATATGCCATCTCTGCAGGAGAAATCCATCCAACATCTTGGGGACTGTGACAGAGACATACCAGACCTCCAAAAAGGACATGCTGCTCAAGAAGTAGTACATGGGTTTATGGAGGGAGCCAGTGACACAAACAGTGAGCATGATGGTAAGATTCTCAACTATCACCAGCAGGTAGACCACTAGGAAGAGGAAGAAGAGAAGGATCTGCAGCCAAGGGGCAGTGGGGAAGCCCACCAGGATGAACTCACTGACCAGAGTGATGTTTCTTTCCAGCATGACTAAAAACACCAAGAGGTATCAATGTCTTCAATGACAATGCCACAAATAATGAAGATGGCTATGACATCAGTCAAGAGACAGGAATAAGTTAGACTTTCCTGTGAGTGAAACTTAAAAAACAAGTGAATTTTTGTTAACAGGAATTAGTTTGAAAATATGAAGCACACCTACTTTCCACTCATTTTCATTTTTTATGGAAGTCTCCTAGAATTAAAATGCACCCCTGTCCCTAACTCTCACTCACCTGATAACAATGACTACAGTGCCTCTTCAATCCCAAGTCATTTCCCAGCTCCATTGTCAGTAAACATAGACCCATTGTCTCTCTCTTGTTGGTTTAAGGTCTCCACGTAATTAGAAACTCACTGCACAAAGACATTCCTGCCTGAAAGGATGCATAGAGCTCTATAGCATTAAGTCAGAAGTTTAAAAAGTTTACTATTGTGGTGATACATTGGCTGTGGTCCTTTGACATAGCAGTTTCTTCCTCATTGTGACCTCTTCTTGGGTTTCCAAGGCAGTATCTCTAAGGAAGTAGATTGCCCAGTCTTCCTTCTGAGGAGTGGCTGGTGGGTTTGAACCACCAGCCTTCTGGTTAGCAGTCAAATGCCTTAGGCACTATGCCACCAGAGCTCCTTTCTTCAACACAGAGTCTATGAAGTTAGTAAATAAGAAAAACTATAAGTCTGTTCATGACCCCCTCATTGCCTTTAGGCAATGTATTTTATTTATCACACAGAGGAGGCATGCCACACTTTATTACTACCTATTTCTTAAACCTTATATCTTATTACCTTCTAAATTATGTTCCATGTTCTAGACGTATTCAACTAGTTTTTGTTCTCCAAGCACACTATAATCTCCTTGCCCTGCATATATCTGTCCCTCTTCCTATTCTATCCTTACCTTAATAGCTACCTTCTGAACTTCTATTTCCCTTTTAGAAACATTGCCAAAGCTGGGTCAACTGTCTAATCAATACACCTACTCTTTCCAGTGCAGAACTCCAACATATATAAAGTTTTCTCCCCACTACACTGTAACCTTCCAAAATTTTATACTTTTTTCTTTTTCATTGTATACTCAATACATAGGACAGTAACAAGGAAATGCATGCATATGAAATGAATATTGAATGAACAAGTGGATTAATGAATGCCTTGAAGCTTTGGGATCCACAAGAAATAGGTCAGAGTCAGAAGAGAGTGATCTCAGGGTCTCACCTGGCAAAAGACAAAGGTCTATTAGGCTGAACACTGTTTGACACATTCTCAGCTTGCACACTTGTGCTGCTTTTATGACAAGCATACCTAAAAGGACATTGGATATGATCTCTGCTCTCAGGTCAGTCAGTGTCCTTAACTATATCAGGCTTTGCCTCAGATTCTGGACCAAAGAGATGAGGGGATGGGAAGCAGGAGGGTGCATGAATGCAGGTCTTGTAAAGCTGGAAGGCAGAATTAATTGTGTACTAGCCCAGTTATTTCAGCCTGTAGTTAAGGAAATGGTTACTACTGTGTCATCTCATGAAAACACATATAAATAGGTGTATATCTCCATTAAATACCACCATCATTTATACAACTTGTGTATTGTCTTCTGACCATTGCTCATCCTTTCTGATTAAGTCTCTTTCCATAATTGCTGTTCTATTGGCAGAAAGAAGGTAGGAGGCTAAACAGGGTTCACCATGTTCCCTCACTGGCCTTAGAGACCTTCTGGCCATAGCACATGGCAAGACACTGAGGGATAACGTGCTGGAGTACAGATTGGCATCTCTTTTTTCACAGCAGTGCACATCAGCAGTGCTCACTCCTGCCTGCTAGCTGGGAAGAGATTTTCCTTCATCTCCCACCTCCAGCCCACACTCTAACCCAGGAGTTACTGGCCTAGCTCTTCATTACCTGTGACCAAATGCTTTCCCAGGGGAGAGGAGGAGGAATCTGGTTTCAGATCCAGGGAGCAGCTAGTTTCTCCCTTATGGTACATTCAGTAGGAAGCAGCACCATGAAGAGGTTCCTATCTTTCAGAATGTTCATAATATTACACATTTCCACCATCAGCCACACAAATTTATACACATTCACCTTTGCATAGTGGTTAAGAGTCAGACCCAGGATTGGATATTGGTTCCATAACCTATTAGCTGTGTCATCTTAAACAGACTACTTGAGAATTATGTATTTCAATATCTTTTGTAAAATGGGAAAAGTGATAATAATGTCTATCTTACTGATTCTTTTGAGAATCAAATGTGATAATGCATGGAAAGCAGTTTGCATAGGACTTGGCCCATGGATATTCTCTATAAGCCTTCCAAAAAATCAAACCAAACTCACTGCCATCGAGTCAATCCCAGCTCACAGGACTCTCATTGGGTTTCCAAGGCAGTAAATCTTTACAGAAGCAGATTGCCTCATATTCCTTCTGTGAAGAAAGATGGTGGGTTTGAACCACGGACCTTTTCGTTAGCAGACAAATGCTTTAACCACTAAGCATTAGTTTAAATTTAATTTAAACTTTATTATTTATTATTTAATTTAATTTAAACATTTAAATGCTTTAACCTAAGCATTAGTTTTTATTAAATTATGTCACACAACAGTCAAATGTGCTCACTCAATCATATGTGCTCACATTTTTTCATTCATATATGCTTTTATACACACACATTCATTCTCTCTTTTATTCATTTTCCTATCATTTCTGTGGAATGAGGTAAATTGAGTTTATTGGAGAACAGGATTGTAGCATCTTTGAAGAGCTCTGAGTTATAGATCATTCATGCCTCCTCCTTATCTTCTAACGTAGTACTTTCTTATAATCAAATTACTTCCATCTACATAAGCACACTCCTATACTCTTCCACTTTCATTGCCACAAGCGTATCTCCAGCAGACTCTACTTTGAGGAATAGAGGGACACAAAATCATCTCTTTCTATTTCACTTGTTTTCAGAATCAAGAGCACTGAATACTGGGCTCTCTATGGTGTCCTAGGAAAGAACTCATTTTCATTAAGCTTATAACTTTTGTTTCTTTCATTTCTGTTTGTACTTGTTCACGAAGTCCAACAGACACGGCAATATTTCTTCTGGAACAATATATTTATCCTTTGTGCCTTAGTCCAACACCTAAAAGTTCTATTACCTGTCCACATTGCCCCAACTTTAAGTAAAGATTTCCTATGCACTGACTCTTCATTTCCCATTCATTCTCCACAAAACCCTTTTGGCCCGTCCAAGAATGTTATTTTTCCAAATACAGTCAATTTTCCACGTCTTTCCTTATGTTCCTTGGAGTTTTCTTCAGGGATCAGACAATCTCTCCTAATACTGCCAACCACTCACCATGGTCCATCTGTCCTCTTTTTGAGAAGGGAAAAATTTTCAGACATTCACACTGATAACAGAAATACAGATTGGTCTGCAGATTTCTGTATTTACTGGAGACACTTGTCTAATCTTTGTTCAGACCTCATGGTAGGCATTGAAGCACTAAGGCAAGAAGACAGAAACAGGAGCAGGAAAATATATTTAGTGCTCACCTACCTTTTTCTTCTGTATTCTCCCCAGGGGACTCACTTACACTCAGTCTGGCCCAACTCTAGGGAAACTCTGTTCGTGTTGCTAAGACTGTCCAGGAGACCTGCGCAGGGAATAAGAATCCCCAAACACCTATCAATGCCTGTGTATACTTGGACCAGTTTTCTCTGGACCTGTGAGTGCGGTGGTGTCCTCTCCATCTACTCTAGCTGATATAACACTAAATTATTCGTAAACCAAGATAAGAAATCTAAGTGAGATAATAAAAGTAACAGATATTTCATTTGTTCATTCTTTATAGAAGACATGCTTCCTGCTTTCATTGAGCTCTTATGTACAGGACACTGTACTATACATTTCTTGGAATAAAAACATATAAGTCATGTTCTCTCCCCTCCTGGAATCTGCAGTGTTGTAAATAAGAAGTACAGACTATCATGAGAATGTGACAGTGCCACAAAAAAAGGTACAAGCAAAATGCTCACGGAACTCCATGAAGTGAGAAATGCACTCTCACTGGGGAACCCAGAAAAGATTTCATCGAACAGGTGTCATTCCAGACTCATAGAAGGAAGACAGTTAGGAAAGAGTATATTGAAAAAATGTTGGTTCAGTAGTCAGAAGACTTGACTTATGATCAAAGTTTCATTATTTTTTGGATATTTGACCTTAGAAAATTATCTTATTTCCTCAATTTATCCATAAAACAGGGTAATAATCCCTTTGTTGTTGTTAGGTGCCATTGAGTTGTCTCCGACTCATAGTGACCTCATGTACAGCAGAACAAAACACTGCCCAATCCTGCGCCAACCCCACAATCTTTGCTATACCTGAGGCCATTGTTGCAGCCACTGTGTCAATCCATCTTGTTGAGGGCCTTCCTCTTCTTTGTTGACCCACCACTTTACCAAGCATGATATCCTTCTCCAGGGAATGGTCCCTTCTGACAACGTGACCAAAGGAGGTGAGATGAAGTATGGCCATTCTCGCTTCCAAGGAGCATTCCAGCTGCAACTCTTCTAGGACAGTTCTTTTAGCAGTCCACAGTACTTTCAGCATTCTTCGCCAACACCACAACTCAAAATCATCAACTCTTCTTTGGTCTTCCTTTTTCACTGTCCAGCTCTCACATGCATATGAGGTGATTGAAAATATCATGGCCTGCATCAAGCGCACCTTAGTTTTCAAGGAAATATCTTTGCTCTTCATCACTTGAAAGAGGTCCTTTCCAGCAGATTTGCCCAATGCTATATGATGTCTGATATTTTGCCTGCTGCTTCCATTGGTGTTGATTGTAGATCCAAGTAAAATGAAGTCTTTGACAACTTCATTCTGTTCTCCACTTATCATGATGCTGCTTGTTAGTCCAGTTGTGAGGATTTTGTTTTCTTTATATTGAGTTGTAATCCATACTGCAGTCTTCAGTCTTCATGAGTGTTTCAAGTCATCCTCA